TTATTTTTAGAGTTTTTATCATTTTCTAGTTATTTGAATAAATTGGGCTTGTTAAAAATAAATATTTTACTTTCGTATTTTCGGTTATTATGACATTTGACTACTGTTTTGACCATAACTTTGTCTACATATATCTTTTTTGTTGATTCTAGTTGCATTGGATTCTACACATCTAGGGATTCAAAATGCATATATGAATTGTTAGATTTGAAGTTGTTTTTAATTTTTTATAATTTTTTTAATTTGAGACAAATTTGTTAAATATTGTTGCGAGATTGTATTTGGACCCTTGTTATTTAATTATTGTATTTGAGTTTTTAAATATTATTAAGGCCTAAATTTTGGACATTTAATTTATTCTTAATCAGAACCTATAAATAGACTAATAAGGTTCTGAATGAGGACGTGCAATTAGACACATCGAGTTTTAAAAATTTGGCCGAAATAAGAATCTTTATTTTTACTTTCTCTCAAATTCTCTCATTTTTTTCTCATTCTTACATGGTTAAGTGCTTCAATGAAAGACTAAACCTCTCATTTAATCTGCGGAATTCAAACGTTGTACATCTTATTTGAGTTCTAAGCTAAATTGCTTTGAGTTTGTTCCTTTTTTCTCTAATATCAGATGTGTGTATTGTAATCGTAATTAACTTTTCTGTAGTTATGATTTAATTAATATTCTAATTTAATAATTAATTCAGGTTAAGTTAACTGATAATTTGATTTAATCCATAATCTAATTAAATTAGATTATTCGATTGAATTAATAATTGCATTGAGTAAACGTTAAAACTCAGATTAAAATATTTAAATATTATGATAATTGAGGTTATATGCATTTGGTATTATTTGTATTGATATTTTTTAATTTATTTTTACTCAATTTTAATTTGTTCGTAATTTAATTAAATTAATTCACAGTTTTTAAATCCTCAAAACTTTACTTTCATTCTTTTTTTGATAGCACTCGACATTTTCTATCATTATACTAATTCTCTGCTTTGAGAATTAATCAGTACCATTCAATTGGAATTTCAATGTGATTGAGATTTCAATTAAAATCTCCGTCCACACAGCTTGCATCTTAACTTACATTGGCATTAAAATTACTATTATTAAGGAAAATGGTTAGTTAATATGTTCTTTTGCTCGAATCATGGGGATGACTATGTTCAAAGATTTTTGTAGGCAAATTTTTATATGTTTATAGTGTTTATTTCCTAAATAGTTTAATTTAATAAGGAATTTCTAAAACATAAATCATGGTTATTCCTTGTGATAGTGTGACATTACTTTCATCTCATTTAGCCTTTATATTTTGTTATTAATTTTTGGTTGGCCATTTCGAAGTGGCCATGCATTGCTCTGGCTGAAAGTTATTGGCATAACAGAGCTGAATTTTATTTACATAGTAAATATAACTTGATCAGGACTCGGAGATTAATCATCATGGACCTTTGCAAAATAATTATATTCAGTAGTTACCAAAAAACATGCGTTACGAAGTTGTTGACCATTTTCCTAACCGTTGACTCTGAAGTTAAAAATAAAAATAAATCAAACACTCATTTTACCATTTCTTTTTCAAAACTTCAAAATCGACGATCAATAAGAAAAAAGAAAGCATTTGGAATGATTGAAAAGAAACACATGAATCGTAAAAATCAAGTGACAACAAAGGTTAGTTAGTGTATTATATGGCTAAATAAATTAGAAATATGACTTTTTATAACAAGTATTTAAAGTTATAATATTTATATTTTAATCCTTAATAAATTTTGTAAGTTAAGATTGTCAAAATATTATATATTTAAAATAGATCTTTTAAAATATTATTTTTAGGCAAATATCTTTTAAATACGTAGTTGTAGCAATTTTAAAAGTAAATTTCATTTTTATCCGCATAAAATTTAACTATATTCTCTCATTCTCACTCTCTTTCATCTTTGTTTATGAAGTTAGTTCAAATATTCTTTTGTGTTTCTAACCGTTAGTTTGATATATTCATTTATTATGATTTAAATGTAAAGTAAAAGTTTGGAAATGATATATAAGACAAAAGATCGAATGAAATCAAATAATCCTAATTTGGAATAGTGTCCTAGAAGCTTTGTTCAACTTCTCCTTATTTTCCATTTATTGCATGCAAACATATTTCTTAAATCTAGCAACTTAAATAACCATACTCTCTAAGCATTATTATACTTTGAATTGTGATCTTTGTAAGTGAAAACAATTAAATTTGAAAAAATTATATATTTATCCTAATTCTCTTAGCAATGAATAATTTGGCTAAATCAAAATAAAGATAATGACTAAAGAAATATGGTTGAATGTTAAAAAAAAGTAGAAAAATTATTCTCTATAAATTTTGTTTAAGTCATACAATATTTACTTAAACTAATTTTATATAATAATGACCATACAAAATTTTGTCAACTTTTGTTTAGGCTATTATTTTTTGTAAGCTAAAATTTCAGAATTATTGTGTTTATACAATTTGCCTAAGTCTGATAAATTTCACTTAAGCTAATAATATTCTTACTTAAGCGATATTCATTCAGTGAATTATCTTTGCTTAAATGAGGTTAAAATAACTTAAGACAATTTCGTAGACATTATACTAAGCAGATGCAACCAGTATGCAGGAGAGTGTGAAAAAAATCTAAAATAACATCAAATAATTTATCAATATAAGATTTTTATAATAAATGAGACTATGAGAATAGATGATAAAGTTTTAATTTTAAAAATTATGAACTGAATACAAAGAATCTTAAAAGATCTAAAATAATATTTAATATTCTATTAAAATTCAAAATTTACTTTTTATTATAAATTTAAAATTGTATCAGTGCATGTGAAAATTTAATTCTTAAAATTACTACTTAAATACAAGATACATACAAGTTGCGTAAAAAAATAAAAAAATATTTATTAATATAATCTTAAAAAGATTATAATAACAAATTTTTAAGGTTAAATGAGTAATTTTACAAATTTTCATAGATAATTAAACCATAAATATATGAAAATTATATTATTAAATAAAGATAAAAAATTTTGAATAATTAATTTTTTTAAATATATCTAACAATTTAAATGTTAATTCACTAATATATTATTTAATTACCTACTCATTTTAGCTTCACCTAAAAATAAAATCAAAGCTTAAATAATTTAAGACCCAATTATGAAAAGTGTGACGTAACCTTTCGTCTATGACGGTTGGTATAAAGGATTTTTGAGATTGGGCTTGTAGTAAGTTGTTTATCAATTTTAAGGTGGAAATAGACGTATGGCACAAGACCTTGCCAAATATTATTTTATAGTTTATTTATTTCTATGATAACATTGTCTTTTGTTGATCTTGATGGTTCCATCGAGTAACCTCGCTGAGCTGTCAGTTTTTTTTCTTTTTCTTTTTTCACATTTCTCATTTATAGATGAAGGGGATTGGAAATTTTGCGAACTGTTTAAGAATCGAAGGTATTTAACAAGAGAAAAAGGAAAAAAATAAATAAATGTTCCATTAGTTTTGGATAAAACTGGAATTGAAAGCAATAGAATCTTCAACAAAAAAAGTGATACTCCAGTGCATTTGGTGACTGCCAAAGTATGTTATTCTTGTGTAAATAAACGAAAAAATGTTAGCTAGACGAAGGTCCAAATGTGATCAACTACATTAAATCTTAGTTTTAACCACAGCGCACAGACTAATAGACTCTCATCCTCTTTTTGTCTCAGTAATGCAAATACTTGGAACTAAATCGAGTTATTCAGTCAAGGAAAATTAGCTTTTTTCCTTTTAATGCCGCAACATTAGATGCAAACTTGGAATGCTCAAACATGTATTTAGTGCTTGGTGACCATGCGGATGCCTTGATTGTACATCTAGCGGCAATGAAAGCCAAATTGATCCCATTATGCTTTTGATTGTCTTTAAATATTCAGGTTTACAGTCCAAATCTTTTGCCATCACCCCTAAACATTTGACCCAAGATTAAATTTATGTTTAACTTTAAAATGAAATATGGACAGTCATATATATAAATAGAAATAAATTGAGTTATTTGATAATTTTTTTTTGCCTAACTTATTTAAAATTTAACTCAACCTAACATATTTAATTAATTAAATAAGTTAAACTTAAACTTAAAATTTTTTTTTATTAGAATTATTAAAATATTCTATTTAAAATTTATAATAATACATAAATAATGTTATATAAAAATTATAATATAATAATATATTAATTTAATTAAATTTTAAAATAATAAAATTTTAAATTAAAAACTCTAATTTTTTTAATTAAAAAATGTCTATACTACAAATTTTCTAGAAGTAAGAATTTTATTTACTGAAATTTTTTATATATTTTATACTTATAATACTGATTTACATTACATTGTCTTAATTACGTCTATTACTAATTCATCTCATTTTATCTATATTTTTTTATAATCTTGAGCACTTGTTTATATATAATCTAGCATAACCTATTTCTATCTCTAGGACTTAGACATATAAGGATAAATAGGAAACAAAATTCTCTAAAACGAGTTATATTCTAAACAAGTTCATACACCTTGCGCACTGAAGCCTAGCGTACGCATTATAATAATTTCTCCCTCTTGTTTGGAGTTATTTTACAAGTCACTGCAACATTTGAGATGCGTTTGAAAATAAATGCTTAAGTGCTTATTCAATAAACTCTTGTCACATTTAAGCTTATGACAAAAACTTATCATAAAACCAATAAAAATAAATAAAGGGTTTTGGAAAAAAAAAAAACACCTATTACATTGAAGATATAAAGTGTAATAAATGTTTCTCTTTTCAATAAAATTTTATTACTATAAATTGCTTAAACCAAACCTTAATGACTAAAGTTAACATTTTTAAAATAAACAAGCGTATAAAAATCATAAGCCTACAATCATAAGCTCAAATAAGCTTCATTCATAAAAACTCTTTCAAACACCCAAATGAGAATGTATAACTTTCTTGGGATATCAAATATTCTGCTCAAAATCTGTTTTCTACTACAAATGTTTTCCATGAAAATATTTTACACAACAAATTTTCCATGATCATACTGCAGTAATGAAATATGTTAGCTGAAGCTGCAAGTTCACAACAGTGGTTGCTAGAGGCATAACAAACGTAAATATTTCATACAAACTTAGAAATGGTAACTTAATGATCAAAATTTATCCGCTAGCAAGAATGTTGGCGTCAGCCCATCAATTTGAAAAAAAAAAACTTCAATGGAGACATCTTACATGTGCCTTAATTTCCAGCAAAAGAACAGAAAAAGGAAAAGGATCAGAAGTTGATGATTTAGAACGACAAGTGAAAAAATCTCACCCTTGTATAAATATCACTTCTGTTGTCTGGGCTGCAAAGCATTTACTGTTCAGGGGCCTGCTGCATCAAGGGCCAAATCGTTGAAATCAATGAGCAGATGATAATGTTGATCAGTCACTTAGCACCCGAACTTGTATATAAGTCCAGTGGGCGGATGCAATATAAAAATAAATGGGATACAATGCAGTACACCATTTCGATGGCAATTCCAAGTCACATGCAAAAAATTGGCAATCATCGGGAAGCAGTTATAGACTTAGAATGCCTGAAACTCTCGCAGCCTGGGCAATTATGTAAGCTTTCATGAATGTAGATGTCGCAATCAAGGCAGAATTGTTGTTTGCATTTTGGACAAATAACAGAAAGTCCAGGTTTGTTTCCTGTGTCACAGCCAGTTTGCAAGGGGGGGGGGGGGGGGAGTTAGGAAGAGTGAGCAAGAACATATTATATATGCAATACTATTTGGAAGAAAAGAGAAATGACAAGTGGTTTTCTTGCAGTATTAACTGTACAACATAAGATCTTAAGCACTGGGCTAATGCAGGTAAACGCCAATCAATATCACAAAGCATGAATACCCATAACCAAAATAAGTCAATAATTTCTGTCATATATTCATGAACGACAGCCACTTAAAATCATGTTCCTTAAAAAAATTCAATTTTTTTGGTAACTGTAATCAGCATACTTAATGCATACACATTGTTAATAGAGTCCAACATTGTCCACATGTCCCCTAAGCAGCCATAGTTCCCTTCACTTCCAATTTGGGGTTTATTACATACTTTATCATCAACTCTAGCTTGAAGCCATAGATTCAACGTCATTATGACAAGAATGCTAAGGATTTGTTGTTGGATAAAATTTATGCACATGATATCATAGTTGATGATCATGCTAGCATTAAGATGTATCAAAAGCAAAGTGCAGAACAAATAGTTGGACCGCCATTCAAAAAACATAAGCCAACAAAGTCTGAACTTTACAGGTTCATAACATGTTACAACTTACAATGCTCTAGAAGTGGTTAATATGGATGTTTATCAGAGACAAGATATCCTTTTTTTGTCTGCTTAAGCTGCACAGTGCAAGTAGTATTGAATTTCAAGACTTCAATATGTATTATTTATAGATTGAAAGCCAATCCTGTCTCTCAAAAAGATTATCACTAATCTATTTTACTAGGGTTAGATACATTTAGTATTAGATCTAACAAATAAAGAAACCAGGTTACAGAGAAAGACTCTTGAAACAACTTTCATTACCAATTTATGAACTTTTATAAAATTCTAGAAGATAAAAATTCCAGTGGATAACTTGTGAAAATACAAATCTATTCACTATCTTCACCATTTATTCACCTTAAAGGAGCATAATGAGTCTATATTTGACATAACATAGAGAACATGATAAAATAGTACAATGCCAAAATTGGACATGTAGGAAGAAACTCAACCTTGACTACCTTCTACAAAAACTTACCCTGACTAAGAAGACTTTGTTGACAACCAAAACAAGCATTGGAAAAACTGTGGCCTAGATCATTTTGAGATGATGGAGAGATGTCATCAAACATCACTATAGGAAATAGATGATGATATGACCTTGCCAAATGGGGTGAAGAAATAAGAGTCAATCCACAGATGCGACATTCAGTAGGAAGCTCACAGACACGAACTTTGCATTTAGGACATGTATATCCCCCTCCTGTCTTAGCCTCTTCATGACATGTACAAATTGCTACAGAACCCTCAGCTGCTCGTTGTGGGAAACCCATCTTAATTAAATTAGCAGTAGCATACTCTGCTATTGCTGGAGGTGGTGGTGCATGCTCTAGGATTAACTCTTTAAAGTGGGACTGCAAAGATGTTTATAACCATATGAATTTATATATTCATGAATTTACAAATATTTGAAAAATGCATAGACATTCCAAGAAAATCAGCTATATTCCAAGTATTTGATAGACTAAGCTGCTTGACTATAAAAACTCAAAATCACTTTTGTAGAAGAGGATTATTTGTATTTCTACAACATCTACATGGGTTCCATCAAAATCAATAGACTAACCTCATCTAGTGCAACAGAATAAGTTCCTCCAGTTTCTTGGCAGAGATGTTTGCATACAAACATTTCAGCAGCAAGACCAATGACTGAGCACCTTATCTTACTCTTTTTGCATTTCTGGATGGTTTCCATGAGATCATCGGGATCACATGTACTGAGAGCTGAATATAAGATCAGAACTTCTCGGTGACCATATGAAGGGATTTGATTTAGATATCCAAGAACAAGCTCTAGCCCATTTTGTAGGGACGCATCACCTGAGCATTCCAGTTTACCCATCAAAGCTTTAATGTGAGACTCAGGGCTGCCACCAAGTTCCGTTAAGCAATGAGCCACCCCATCTTTTATAGTCACCAGTCCAACATGGCTAAGTGGATTCTGATCAAAGAATTCCCTGATAAAAGCCTCAACCTGTTTCCCGATCACAGCCATCCTACTAGGTCGAAAGTCCGTCTCTGAAGCTGCCTTCACATGATGACAGAAACTGAGTTATATCAAGAGAAGATATTAAAATTACATATATGTAATTGCAACATTCTATCATTTATTTCATCTTTTTGTATTAGATTTTTATTACATATACTACCCATAGTTTTATATGTTTTCACTACCCAAATTACAGGCTTAATAAGATACTCGTGACACCACAAGCAATTTTGTAATGTCTATTAAGGCAAAAGAACTACTCAACATGGAAACATGAGTATGATTACGAAAAATACAGTTAAATGTCATTCAATTGTTGTTTATAATAATTTAAAACATAAAGGTATCCAAGGCCTACTTCAAGGGCATTAAGATATCGAAAGAAAAGGCATACGAGAAAACTATGGAAATTCAACTTTCACAACTTTATTGACAAAGCTCTTCTATCATGAGCACCACATCCTCCAAGTAAAATCTAATTTTTAAGTAATCAAATAACTGGTCCAAACCAGACAGCTCAGAACACCGAAGTTGTAATTAAATACCTTGGACAGGTCAACAACAATGTATAGATATCGTATAAGACCCTTCTGAATCCGTGCAGTAGCTGCTGAAGAAGTGAGAGTTCGAAGGCGCCTACGATACTGAGCATGGTAAATAGCAGTGTTATCTATGGGGCGAAGAAGCCCTGATTCATCCTCTTGCAAAGCTTCCCACGATCTATCTTCTGCATAAGTTCTCTCCCAGGCTTCAAGGTTTTCACCATTAGCATCATCTTCTTCATCATCATCTAGTTCTCCATTAAGTGGTCTTTCAGCAACATTATTCATAATTTCTACACCAAAAGATGCAACAGTTAATTAACCAAGAGCAGCAATAGTAGCAATCAATGAAATTATGTATCTTATTTCATTCAACACATTCACAGAGAATTAGGGGTATGCATAAATTGGATTTATAAAAAAACAATCCAAATCCATATTAAATCCAGTTATGTAATCAGAGAATAATGCAGTAGAGTGCTAATTCTTAACCCACTTCATTCATATCTTGTAATTAATGTATGTCAATCAAATCCTCTCAAAGAATAAAATTGGTCCAATAAAAGATCATCATATGCTTCTAGATTCAAGAAATTAACTAATTCTTCAATCAATTCATGTTTGTTGAATTTGAACTTTAAGCCTAACTTAACCCAAAAGCTAGCTCGTAAAGTGAGGATTGCTTTAGCCTTTATAAACTATTATTTAGCTATGTCTATAGTCAATGTGAGAATTCAACACTCTACAAAAACTAGCATCAATATCTAAAACCTCTTTGACAGCTTATTACAGCAGCTCGAATAAACATCATGGCCACATGATTTGACAGCAATTTCAGATGTTGAGTCCAAAAGAGTGCTAATTTTTTGACAACTTTGTTGTCTATTCTTTATATAAATCTGCATCTAGATTGTAGATAATACAACTTAATGAAAGTCTAAAGCCCATGAGATACATAATATATAAAACTATATACTAATAGGAGCTTAATGCTGTGTCATATTGGCATTCAACTTGGACAGAAAAGAGGAAAGAGGAACAGTGTGTTCAATTAGGAATTGCATAATATTACAATTTTCTACTAAGGGATAAGAAAGGACATTTTGTACATCAACAATAAAATAAACAAACTTTAACATTTTTAGTCAAACCAACATAATTTGGTAATCCATTATTAGCAATAGACTGTCAAGTAGAAGATATCATTTAGAAGGCTTCTTATTCACAGTAAAATCTTAAAAATGTAAAAAGCTTCAACAAAAACTCAATACCTTAATAAATCACCACTTCAAAATTTGAACTGCAAATCCTAAAACCTTGGCAAGCTAGAACCTGATACAGAAACCAAAATTAAACAAAATCATAATAGTATAAAAAATTTAAATCTCTATGAATAAGAGACACTTCACAATTCAAGGAATTTAAAATACATGGAATTTGAATTGCTCACATTTAAATTACTTTCATTTTCAAAATAATTTGGAAAAAGCAGTCCAAATTTCATGTATTTAAAATTCTTTGTTTGCATAGAACAATTCAAATTTTTGAAATTTCAATTATTTTGTATTTTAAATTCTTTGATTGGATAAATAGTTTCAATTTCCATTGTATGCAAAATTTTATTTTAAATATTTATTAAAAAAATGAAATTTAATCATAATATTTACCAAAAATAAGGGTAAATCCATGGTGGTTAGAATCGATTCCGCATTTGAAAAATACAAATCGCTGAGTATATAAGGAACCAGAATCGAGATTCTCATCAGCGATGCACGATTCTGCCGCAAACCGAGTCACACATGACCCATTTTAGTTGTGTTGCTTCCTCTACATGTGTGTGATTTAGTTTTCTTCTTTACCTCTATTTTTTTGGTGTTAGTTGCTGCTGTACCTGCAAGTTTAAGTTGCTCCTGGGTGTTGGTAGTTGTGTCTGTGAGTTCGCCTTGGATGTTTGAATATGAGTCTATCCATTCTCACTTATAGACTCTATTTTTTATTTTATTTTTTTAGTTGCATGTTTCCTAATCTTTTTTTTGGATCAACATTTGTCTAGCTGAGCCATGTGAATAGTTTAAACATAAGTAATGTAGAAAAATGTTTTTCTTTTTTTTTATAAAAATTTATATTATTTAAATAAATGAATAAAATTGCATTTTTAATAAAGTTATAATTTTTATGAGTTATGATATATATTTCTCATTAAGTTTATTAAATGTTATTTATAATTTTAATATTACTTTATTTATTTAAATATAATTTTATATTTTAAATAAGATCTTATGTTTTATGTTATGATCTTCCAATTTATAGATGATTTATATAGTCACAACTTTTTTTTAGTGTCATTCTGGTTGATGTGACTTGAATTTTTGTACCATTTTTTATTTTATTAGTTATATAAAATTATATTTAAATAAATAAATATATATATATATATATACATATAAAATATCAAAAATAAATAAAGTAACCTTAAAATCATAAATAACATTTAATAAAATTTAACTAAAAATATATATCATAGCCCATAAAAATTATAATTCTATAAAAAATACAATTTTATTCATTAATTTAAATAATATAAGTTTTTATAAAAAAGAAAAAAAAGCATTTTTCTACAGCATCTATTGTCTGAACTATTCACACGGCCCAGCCCACCCGTTGCAATGTCTAAGCTATTCACATAGCCCCCTTAGACAAACGCTAACAAAAAAAGGACTATAAAACATGCAACTAGAAAAAAAAATAAAAATGGAGTCTATAAGTGAGAACGGAGGGCCTAGTATTCAGACACCCAAGGCAAACTCAAGCAAAGTGACTAACACCCAGGAGCAACTCAAGGCATCAAGTGCAGCAACAACCAACACCCAAGAAATAGATACAAAGAAGAGAACCCAGCACCCACCCAATCATACGCACATGCAAAGGAAGCAACACAATTGAATCAGGCCATGCACAGTTTGCGGCAGAATCGTGCGTCGCGGACAAGAATCCTGATTCCGCATTGATTCGTGCGATTCAGGCAATTCAAGCTGTGATTCTGTAACAAACCCGATACACCCTACAATATGTATCTTTCAGATGCAGAACCGCATCAAGTCGCATGTATCGAATCGTGAATCATGCGATTCTAACTACCATGCTTCTGATAATCACATGAAAAGGGTGTCTGCAAAAAGCAGTGTAAAACCCATATTACATCCAGATGCTTTAATGCGGGCCAAGAGATATAAGTCACCTCTGTGAGTTCTGTACATGGTACTCTATTATAGCTACCTATCTATCTATATAAAGGCTCTCTTTTCTTTAGAAATCACCGATCCCAAGTTTTGGGTTTGCCATTAGGGTCCTACCATAATTATCACCTACCATCTTAGAGAAAAAGTAATGACTAATCCAGGTCACTGTGCCTAAACCTCCAAAGAGAGTGGGCTTCCACAAAGACATACACTTTAATAAGGTTTCTTGTTTCTTGGGACTGTGTTTAAAAGTTAACAATCACAATCACATACAAAAGTTTAACTTTCATGAGTTGTCCCAAAAAGATAACACGACTGGTATGTCAGAACCTTGGAAGCAACATTATAAGCACATACTATGAATCATGTCCATAGTTTCACCTCTAATCCTCCTTGATAATTTCACCTGTAGTTTTTCCCTAGTGATAGACCTATCCTTCATCTAATCTATCCTTCACACTATTCCAAACCACTAGGGGTGTGCATAGATTGGATTTATAAAAACCCAATCGAGAGCAATGCACGGCCAAGTGGCCAACCACACACACACACAGATATATATATATAGGGATACAAATGTTTCTTGTTAAATATTATAAAGATGAAAAAAAGAAAAAAAAAACTGATTGTTTGGATGAGAAAACATAATGTACAAGACCATTAAAATTTACATGTATATTGGTTTGACATCATACCTGACCAAACCAACAGAAGTTCAATTCATGTTAGTTTGTTAATAGCTTACCAATTGAAATGTGGGTTCATAAGCAATACACAGAATCCATTTAAAGCTGAAAAATTGATGTTAAACATAATTAACAGGGAAACACGCTAATTAATGCTGTAAGGTAAACTTGGAGTGGAATGATCAATTTATCATTGATATGGTGGTCTCAGTGCCAACTAAAATCCACCACCAAGTTATCTTTTAGTACTCTGTTAATTCAGTTACAACTTGTTTAGCAAAGAACAGTATGCACCTGTATGAAAGCTTCGAATACCCAGTTAATTTGCAGAATTATGTTTTACAGCAATTCAACAATTAATTCTTAAAATAATTATTATATAACATTATTAAGAATAGATAATATGGCACTTTGAAATATTTATTTAGATGGGAATAGATTAGAACCTGAAAAACTTGGTACATGGCTTTGATTTGCTTCCTACAACAGTTGATAAGGACTCCATTTCTGTTGCAAAACATTATTACTTATTCTCAGTTAACATTTTCTTGCTTATTATTTATTAATCTAGTACACTTTATGCCAAAGCTGTTAACAACTTTAAGATGTACTTACTTTTGAGTGACAACATTTTACAAATTTTACAAGTTCACATGTTCTGAATTCATTATCTAACATAACAAAGTTTTTCAAATGGGGTATAATCACTTTGATTTGTTTTCCACTGCCCCAGATAACGAAAAACATACCAATCTGAAACAAACTAACGAAAGTTATAGGTATGTTCATAAGCGTGAGAGAGAAAATTGCCTCCTCAGTGAGCACCAAAGCATAGCATAACAGTGTTGACAAGTTAAAAGTTTTGGTGAAATGCTTGAAATTACTAAAAAGAAAAAAAAGAAAAACGACATCGATTTACATTCACAGGCACATAACACAAGAAAGGAAAAGCAAACAGCTTTCAGAGCAGAAATCAAAGCGAAGTGAAATAGAGAAACCCAGAAGAGCGCAAAAGCTAAATATCAAACCTTGCTTAGATTTCTTAAGTCCGCCATTAATATTGAAGCTGTGTTCGGGTCTTCCCCTCTTGCGGATATCCATGGATCGAGATCCGGATAAAAAATGAGCTTCAAGTAAATAAGGTTGAGAACGAAAGCTTAGTATAAAAGGTTCAATTGAAGCAAGAGATCAAATGAAAGTGGAAGAAGACTAGTCGATAAGGAAGGTAGAAAAACCCTAACCCTAGCCGGGACCCAGAAAGAGGGGTTTTGGAGGAAGGAGAAGAGAAAGAGAGAGGGTGGGTTCGATACGAGAGTGAAAAGGACCAAATTTGAGAATTAAAAAAAGAAGGTTTTGTTAAATTCTATTTTAAAAACTAATTTTAAGATCTTAAAAATAATATTTTTTATTGACAAATTATTTATTTATTATAGTTTTCATATATAAAAAGCTTTTATAAAAAAATATTAATTAAATTACTTAAAATTAAGTTTAAGGATTGAAATTATTTTTAAAATTCTTTAATTATATTACGGTGGTGACATAATAATTAATAATTGAGGATTTGAAAATTAGAGTTTCAATTTGAGTTGGATTTTGTTTAGGTGTTTCCTTCCAATACTGTTTTTTTTTTTTAAAGAATCTTGTGTTTTTTGATAAACAAAACAAGAAATAAAAAACAATAAAAAAATTATGTAAAAATAGAAAAATAAAACCAAATGATAACTTTAAAAGTGATATCAAATTAAAACAAAAATTAGTTTTACTAAACAAAATCCACAAGCACGAAAAAATTTCAAGTTTAAATATAATTTTTCATTAAATTAATCGCATGACTTTTCTTTAAAGTTTTTAAATTCTTATTATTTAATTTTAATTTGATAAGTTTCACTTATTTTGAAATTCATTTACTTTAATTACATCATTTAATTTACTTCATGCAAATATTTATTGATTTTTCATGTTTTAAATATTTTAAATTTTAAGCTTAATTTCCATTTACTATAAAAGTTTCCAAGAAATTCATTAGAGGAATGTTTCCAATAAAAATAGTTTGTTTTTATATGTCTTTACTGCTTTTCCAAATTAATCTTGCGGATACATATAATTCAGAGGAATATGTAAGCGATTCATATACAATATCTTTTTCGTTTATCAAGGATTATAACAATTGATATTTTTTCACAAATAATTGAAATTCTATTTCTTAATCTGTATCATCATTTTTTAGAAACTTAAAAAGTTCTTCTGTTAATCCCCGATCAATGAACCTACAAAATCTTTCAAATTATATCTTATTCAACCTGAATAGTGCAGACAGTCTCTCATTTCCAACCTCAAGCATTTTCAATTTCTCCATAAATTTTATAGAAAAATATCTCATAATTTACTATCATTTTTTATCAAATCACATGAATAAATTTAACAAAAATAGAATTTCATAGATACTATAAATTTTAAGCTTAATTATATTTTTGTTTCCTATAAATATAAATATTTTATAATTAGTCTTTTCAAATATTTTTGTTAAAAAACAGTAATTCTAAAATTAATAATTTTAAAATTAGTTCGTCTCTATTAAATATTAAACTGATTAACAAAGAGTCAATTTAACACTCCATGTAACTTTGTATAGCTATTTTAAAATCTAATCACAACTTATATAACATATTATATAATTTATTATTTATATTTTTTATTTAAAATTAAAATTTATATATAAATAAATAAACTCATTTTATATAATTACATAAAATACATTCTAACTTTTTTTCTTTCTTTGCTATATCTCTTCTCTCCCTCCATGGCAACCTTCCCTTCTTTCCTTTCCCTTCCCCCTCCCTCCCTCACGACCCACTTCAAGTACCCCTTGTTCCTAATCTTCACTAAATCATCAGTTCTTCTTCCTCAATCAACTCCACTCCGGCAGCTCCATCTCCCTCACCCCTAACCTCCACCACCACCACCCTCATCAGAATCCACACTCTCCTCTGTCTCCCTCTCCCTCTCCATGCTCTCCACCTCTTCTCCTCTCTCTGCCGCCTCTCTCTCCCCCTTAACTTCCACACCTTCCCCTTTGTCCTCAAAGCCTCTGCCCAACTACCTTCCCTTCCTCTCGCTCTCTCTCTCTCTCCACTCCTAAGCCTTCAAGTTCAAATTTTTAACCCATTTCTTCAACTCCCTCATTCGCCTCTATTCCGTTCATGACTGTGTCCACGATGCCCACAAGCTCTTTTGCGAGAGTTCCCACAAGGATGTTGTCTCCTACAATGCCATGATTGATGGGTTTGTTGAAACTCGCTAAATTTCGCGCTGCGTCAACTGTTCGACGAAATGTCCCTGCGAGATGAGGTGTCTTGGAGCACCATGATAGCGGGTTATCGACACGTGACACTGTGTAATGAAGCCATTATGCTTTTCAATGAGTTTTACTATTTTCATGCGGTGTGGTGACTCGAATTTTAATCATTTTCAATTGGATTTTTTTTTTCTTTTTATTTGTGTGTTCTGTTTGAATTTCCTCGATATGGGTAGTGTTGATTCGGTTCTGGATTTTTGAAGTTAGTTTCTTTAATTTAGGTGTTTTGGGTTATGTGGATTTCCTGGAAGGTTTTTAACCATCTTTTGTTTGGTTGAGTTTTGAGTATGGTGGGGTTTGAAATGGGTACTGTTTGAGATGCTCAAATATGGTTGTTAGTATTGGAATTGCTCCAACAATTCTCAGTGTTCTAGACATCATTTTTTCTTTTTTCTTGTTGGTCACATGAGTTTTGAACCTTTGAACTGAAACTCAATGTTGTTGCTGAAAGTCCTATATATTTGTTGTCGTTTTGTTGAGAATATTATCATGCGCAGATTAGGAAGAAGGGGTGCTTAAGGTGGGTTATGAGGGAGGGGGAAGGAAAAGGGAAGAAGGGGAGGTTGCCAAGGAGGGAGGGGAGAAGAGAGGGACCGCATAAAAGAAAGAAAGAAATTTAGAAGGTGTTTTATGCAATCATATAAAATAAGTTTATAGATTTATTTATAAATTTTAATTTTAAATAAAAAATAAATAATAAAAAGTAATGTAGTATGTAACGTAAGATGTGACTAGATTTTAAAATAACTACATAGAGCCAATGACTACATAGTGTTATGTGAAGTGCTGAGATAAATCAGCATTTAATAAAGAGAAAATTAACGATAGAAATTAATTTCAAAATTATTAATTTTAGAAGTATTATTTCTTAACAAAAATATTTGTAAGACTAATCATAAAAAGACCTGTATTTATAGGAATCAAAATTATTATTAAGCTTAAATTTTAAATTTTATAATTTTTTTATAAATTTTAAAATAAATAAAATATAAAAATATGTTAATTTTTTTTAATAAAAAAATATGTTAATTTTAATAAATTATAAAAATGTTCTTGTATTAAATATAGTAATCTTAAATAGGGAAAATATAAAAATATATTTTCATATAATATTTCATAAGTAATAGAAAAAATAAGTATAATTTGTCATTTGTTTGTAAATTTTATTATATTTTAGTATTTCTCCTATAATATCAAATTTTTCTTTTAGTTTTTTTATATTATAAAAAATTATAAGTTGGTGAAAGCAATAAATTGAGAGAATTTTAACAAATTAAACCTTTCAAACAAATTCATATGAAAATTTTAATAAAAAAATTATATTATAAATACATAGATTATAATTAAAGATATCAACTTAGAAATTATATTTTATACCGCAGACTATATATTGATTACACGAGTATAAATATTATATTAAATTAAGAAAGATAGTTAATAAAAAGGCACATATTATTTTATAACAAAAAAATATATAAATTATTTATAAAAAATGTGTGTTTTATTATTATTTTTATTGAGTTTCAACTTTTCAAAAATTATTACTACAAAATATTAGAAAGATACAAATTAATATATCTAATTATATATTTAGTCAAAAGCCTTCATAACTTTAATTTAAATATTTCATATAGTTAGTAAAGCAAGTCATCCAGCCCTACACAAGTTTTACAATCTCAGTTACTTCACACAGATAAAACAAAAAATAAAAATATTCTACACGAAATGAAATTTTTACAGCATAATAAACATCAGGCTTTTCCAGTATTTCACACAATCACAATGATCAAGTGTTGCACATCCAGTTAAATTAGGCTTTTTTATTTAAATAATATATTTTTAAAAACAAATTCTTAAAATAAGGTTTTTGCTAAACTATTTCCGTGTCTGGGGCTTTTTTTTGCCAGGGTGGCAGTAGTATTGCACATGCATAGACGATAGTAAATTTTTATTATCATTTTAATAGAGTATCGTTACAAAATTACCGATACTATACCACACTGCACGAGTATTGGACAAAGTGAAACGATAACATATTTTTATAATTATTTTAATATATTATCGTCGTTTAGCATTCGAAACTCGTATTTTTTTAATCAATTTTAATACTATCGTTGCAGATTAACCGATACTCAATATTTCAAAACCAACGTAAATGACTTATAATTCACCTTTAGAGAGCGGTTCAAATTGAACCGCTCTCGTAAGTCACCTTTAGAGAGCGGTTCAATTTGAACCGCTCTCATAAGTCATCTTTAGAGAGCGGTTCAAACTGAACCGCTCTCTTAAATAAGTAGTATCGACGAAATAGGGACGATAACCATTCGCGATGGACGGTCGGGGATAAATTGTGCCACGTGTCGAGATCGTATGTGTATCGTCTCTAACACGTCGACTGGCTTATTGTGTCTTTTGGAGCGATACTAGTTGGGGCCACGACACCTGGAATATTGGAACCGACGCCGCCCAAGCTTCTACTTCTCTTCCCCTCCATCATAATCTCCATTAACGCCGGCGTTGAAGGTTTTTTATGCGAGTTTGCAAAAGTCTTGTGTAAAAATTTCATTTCGTTTGCATTATTCTCTGAAATATTGGAAGGTAAAAATTATTTTGTTGAATTTGTGATATTTTATTGAGTTTCATTTGAAAAATAATAACCGATTTCAATCTGTAATTTAGGACCCGATATTGGTGAACTGGAATAGTCATTGTTGCTACCGGCATTAAAGGTTAGAATTCTATATCAAATGCAGTTTAACTTTTTTTTGTAAATTTTGTATCAGATTTTAGTAATTATATGTATGAAATGAAAAATGTGAAAGTTTGTATATGTAAAAACTGTGCATTTGACTTAGAACCAGAAAAAAATAATTTTTAAGATTGTAATTTAATTTTCCAAATTTGTTTTTAAAGTGTAATTTATAGATATATATTAATTTGTTGAGTGTAATTGATACATTTATTAATTTGTGATAAATAAATTATATATAAAATTTGATTGATATAAAAAAAATAGATATATAAGTAGTGCTATTTTGTTATTGGTTGATATATGTAATATTATGTTTAGGAAAAAAAAATTACAAATGTTATGATAGATAAAATACATTAAAATATAAAATTTTAGTTAAATCATTAAATATTAAAATAGAAATACATAATTAGTAATATTTTGAAGATAATAAGATAATTATATTTAAAAATAAATATGTATTACGTAAAAAGTATGAGAAATTAGATTATTAGTGTTGATAAGTAAAAAGAAATAATTAAAAAATGATATATTTTAAAAATGATTAAATAATGGGAATAAATTAAATTAAATATATTTGGTTGTAATAAAGTGAAATTAAAAAATTGTTTTTGATTTAATATAAATAAAAAAGGAGAAGTAAAATAAAAATAAAAGTTTAAATAAAGTAATAATGTAGGTATTGCATAATTTTTTAAATTGTTGTAGAGTAAAATAGAATATAAAATGAAATATTAATAAAAATAAAATTAATAACACTATAATTACAATGTATATAATAAGTATACCATGAAAAGTTATTGTTCAAACTTTGATGCATAATAATCATTTAGAAAATTTTCGTTAAAATTTAATATATAGATATATAAAAAAAATGAAATATAAATGGATGTAAATTAAATTACATATAGTAGGTTGTAATCAAGTCAAATAAAATCTATGTTTTTGATTTAATATAAATAAAATAGGTGAAGTAAAATAAATATACAAATTTAAATTAAGTAATAACATAGGTATTGCATAATTTTTTATATTGTTATTTAATAAAATAGAATATAAAAAGAGAATTTAATATTACTAAAATTAATAATAGTATTTATTCTTATGGTATATAATAAGTGTACCATGAAAAGTTATTTTTAAAACTTTGATGCATACATATAGAATTTGGTATTGATATTTTATTTGAGACATCAAATTTAAAAAAATAGGTGTGTTGCAACTGTTATATTGATATTAACGAATTGTACAGAAGTATAATTATTTATAATGTGTTTATAATGACATAATAATGGTAATGTATATTTTTAAATTTGTAGATGGCTTCATCTTCATCTGAAGGTATGATAATTAATTCTGGGCTAGAGGATCCATCTTTGTTGCGTTTTCAAAGTATACATGTCTCTGAACACATTTGGGATGGGCGAGAGCATCCGATGTTGAAGGTTAGGAAGTGTCAGTTCATACCAGCTGGCATAGACTGTGTTCCAGGAGAGATTTTACCTCATTTAGAGATGGCTGGCTTTGTTGGAGTTGCTCAGCTTGCTAACTTTCCATTGGATAGACATTTGATCACTGCATTAGTAGAAAGATGGAGGCCTGAGACTTATACATTTCACATGCCACCCGGAGAGTGCACAATAACGCTTGAGGATATAGCCATCCAGACAGGTCTTCGGGTTAATGGGCTTCCAGTTTTTACAGCTACCGGAGGTAATTGGCCACAGATGGTTGAGGATAGTCTAGGTATTAGACCACCACCAGAAGCTTTTGTGGGGAGTAGCTTGAAGATTAGTTGGTTAGATTAGCATTTTACTCAGGTTGCCATGCATAACCATGACGAGCTTCAGCTTACAAGATTTGCTAGAGCGTATATTCTTAGGCTTTCATATTTATTGTATTAATCATCTTTTTAAATTTTTAAAACTTTCATATTTATATAATCTACATAATATTTATTGACTTATTACCTATTTGTGCATCCTAATTTACATAATTTTAACACTTATTCTTCTCAAATTGTATTAAATATCAAATTAATATTTCTTAATTTAATTAAAAATTACAACAATAACTACATTTACAATATAGTAAATTTTTCAATACAAAATTTACACTTTACATGTGTACCACAATTTTTTCCTAATTTTTGTCCATAAATTTATTAGAATAAATTATATAAATACATACTCTCCAACAAATCTACATAAACATGATATTAAATATATTTAAATCTTTCCATTATTTTACTAATTTTAATTAATAAATTAATTTAAATTTCATACTATAAATTTATATAATAACATGATATTAAATATATTTAAATCCTTCTACTATTTTACTAATTTTAATTAATAATTTCATACTAAAATTTTAACATTATTAATACAAACATTTTATATAACTAATACCAAAATTTACTAACCTTGAATATGCTTTTCCTGCTTCTTGCTTCCTGCTCCTTGCTTCCTGCTTCTCTGTTTCCACTCCTCCAATACAAATGTACAAAGTGAAATTGAAGGGAGCGTGGGTTGTAGAAATAGGGGGATAGTATCGCTCCACTCAAACCGATAACCAGCAACAAAACTATCGTCCTATAAAGTCCGATACCACTGCCAACCGGTTCCTTAAAAAGTATTATTTAAATTAAAAAATGACTTATGAGAGCGGTTCAATTTGAACCGCTCTCTAAAGATGACTTATGAGAGCGGTTCACTTTGAACCGCTCTCTAAAGGCGACTTATGAGAGCGGTTCAAAGTGAACCGCTCTCTAAAGGTGACTTATGAGAGCGGTTCCAATTGAACTGCTCTCTAAAGGTGACTTACGAGAGCGGTTCAATTTGAACCGCTCTCTAAAGGTGATTTATAAATCCTTTTACGTTGGTTTTGAAATATTGAGTATCGGTTAATCTGCAACGATAGTATTAAAATTGATTAAAAAAATACGAGTTTCGAATGCTGGACGACGATAATATATTAAAATAATTATAAAAATATGTTATCGTTTCACTTTGTCCGATACTCGTGCAGTATGGTATAGTATCGGTAATTTTGGAACGATACTCTATTAAAATAATAATAAAAATTTATTATCGTCTATGCATGTGCGATACTACTGCCAATCTGGCAAAAAAAAGCCCCAGACACGGAAATAGTTTAACAAAAACCTTATTTTAAGAATTTGTTTTTAAAAATGTATTATTTAAATAAAAAAGCCGTTAAATTAGTCCCACTATGCCTTTCTACCTTGATTTTGAAAAGACAATTTCAAATTAATTTTTTTTTTATCAGTCAAATGATTTAAAAGCTGATTTTCACAACCCACTTGAACCAGTCTCACAGTGCAGACAATTCCCCGGCTCACTTTCAAAACTTGCCTCCAAAATGTAAAACAGACATACGAGCTACAGAGGTTTCTTGTGTTTTGTTTTCTAACCTCCAAAGTTGGCAAATAAAAAAAGAGGCACAAATAATAAACGCTTCATCAGGTTTGAACTATGGTTATAAGCCAGGTGCACCACCATCAATTTTCAGACATGTTTGTTTACGAAAACTCGACAGAAATTAGTTAAATAAAAATAACCATATGCATTGGTACTATTATGTTGTTTGGCAGTTCCAAAAACAGGAGTCAGCATCTATGTTAATTCTATCTGAAACAAAACTAGCTTGTATACTCCTAAGCATATAATGAGCAAAACAAAATTCGTAACAATATGCGAAAATGTCTGTACATGAGCTCATCCTTCAGTCCGTTTACTTGGGTGTCTTCAACTTACGCATTACTTTGTGGTTGTGTTGTACGCAGTGTTTCATAAGATTATGCAGATACCACACACTGACTCTGTCATTGACAATTCCTATCTGGCATCAGCTCCTCTCCATCCCCAACAGAGCGAAGCATCAACTGATAACTCAATCAAAGAAAAGGAATAGAGAAACTTTTAAGATATTAAATGACCAAAAATAGCTCGCAGTTTCTCCCAAGTTTATTAGGTGAAAGCTTTCAGAACAAAGAATTATAACAAAAATTGAATGATAAAGGAACTCCTGTTTTCTTGAATGATTTGCTTCAAGTAGTAAATCACGTTCAAGGAAATTATAGGAAGAATAAATATATGCTGAAGCGCAATAGAATTTTAGTTTTTAAAATAACAGTTTTTTTATAGCTCCATAACAATTTTAACCCAGAATGATCATAAAGAGAAAGTGCGAAGGTAAAAATAGAATATATCGTAGACAACTTCAAATTGAGTGTTTAGACCACTTAAAGATATGAATGATCGGGCCTATTCTTCTCTCGAAACAGTTAGTCCGGGACTCCGGTCAGTCCGACCAAACCATTTGAGAGCCAAGATATAAAATGGCCCCACCATTAATATTCATATTCAATAAAAGAAAAAGGTATCAGAAAAGTTTATGTTCGTAATTGTAACATACACAGAAGGACAATGATTCATTAAATTAAAATTAATACAACATACAATCACAAATTAAAAAATAATCTAAATACATTTTTTCTGGATACCTTCCAGTCATTGAAGTCACATCGGAATACAAAGTGGCTGAAAACAACATCCTTGGAATGAACAGCATTTGCAGCTGGAGCATTCCTTGGCGCTGTCGAAGAGCAAGTGCATGAAGAAAAAATTAGTTAAAAAATCAACGATAAACATATAATAAGTTGATCTATAAGGATTAATATAAGCATTTTGAAAGTAACCCACAAACTAGTTGCCATCCAGCCTCGTTCACTTTTATTTCAGCTCGTCCATCTTTGACTAAAAAAGATAAAGCAAATAAATTTTCAACCGTTTGTGCAAAGGAGTTCCTATTTAAAACCAGATTTTCAAGCTTGACAATTTTATTTATCCTTAAGATGTTAAACATAGTTAACATATTTTTATCTGTCCCAGTACTGTCTTCTCTTGAATCTTCACCAAGCTGCAAAATTATACAACAATGTCCAAGAAGAAATGAGATTAGTATATCGTGAGTAAATAAAAGCCACTAAATTTACAATTCTGACTAGCGAACAGCTAAGTCTTAGCTTTACTAATTCCATTCTCTAGTTAGGCTCGAAGATATTGTATCTTCGTCATGTTCTCACAACAAATGAGTGGGCAGTAAATTGTATGAAACGTCGTAGATGTTAGTGTCATTAAAATTGGAAATTAAAAACAAGCGACTGTGTATCAATAAAAGGTAATCAAAACGGCTTGTGGGCACTTTTTTCCCTTTATGTTTCCTTCTCTTCTTCTTCTTCTTCTTCCTAGCATAACTGCAGGCTCAGTAAAGAAGTTTTACCACTTCTGGCCGCGTCAATTCGGTGGTTCGCTCACGGTTTCGACGATTAACAACCTTCCTCTCCTTTATTTTGGCATCAGTTGGGCCAATCCTGAATAAGTTGGAAATAAACATCCAAAGAAATATTAGTACGGGAAAAACAAATAATTCTCAATATATGGACATTACATTGTAGAACAACCAGAAGCCCCTCTAAAAACATGCGAAACTGCAACTCCAATATCATTCCAAGCTATTGAGTTTCTGCTGCAATCTTCTGCGCTATTACTTGGTCCACCTTGTCCTCCAAATTTTTCAAGAATGTGGGTGACAAAGCCTGAAGGAGTAAGTCCACCAGTGGCATTAGATTTCACAAACATTACCAGGGATTTGGTGATGTCCAAAAGAGCCTTCGCATCAGCTACTTGTTCTCTTGGTTTTGTAACTGAAATTAGACAGAGCATTAAACAAAATTGAATAGAAAAACTTGTACCATTAAATGTTAGAATAACGTTCTATAACGAGACAAAAGAAAGGGGCAGAAACATACAACAAATTATGAATGTGAGAAACAAAGGAAGTCGTGTGAACAAATTGGGAAAACTTTGTGTATCATCTTTCATACTATTGGGTACTGACTGTAGTGATAGATTACTGCAGTTGCAGTATTGGTATATTAGAAAGAGGATTCTATATAGGAAATGCTAGAACTATTGTAACTTTTGTCCAAGTAAATTTAAGGAATATATTAAGATTTTACTTGATAAAATTGAATAATTTTTGTTGTTACTTGGTTTTCTGATTTATCATTTTATCATAAAAGGTTACCAGTTAAAATTAGGTATTTTTCGGTCCTCGTTGCCTAATTATTGATTTCTAAAAAAATTATGGAACAACGTTAATCACTTAAATGCCACCCCAGAGAAACAGCTGTCAAAGTCCGCTGTTGGTAGCTCTGTTAATAGGAGCAGGAGCATGTTAGAAATGGTGTAGGACTCAACCATTTATCATACTCTCCGTTGGATCGCAATTGTTTCCAGTCTAAATCCTTCAACTCATAATTTTCAGTTGCATTTCTAATTCCTTTTCATAAAACATATTTTTTTAACAGTCAAAATTATATGCAGTTCCCATTTCATTATTCTTTCCTTCTCCTTGCCCCACCTCAATTAAGGGCACCCCATTTAATCCCAGGTGTTTAGTTTAGTTTAGCTTATGAAAATAAAAATGTTATATATATATATATATATATATATATATATAGTATACGTTAATAAAGAAATATCTAAAAATATTAGCAATACATCAAACATTTTCTATAAAAGAAAAAAAATGCTGTCAAATACAAAATTAAATACCTAGCTGATGTAAGCTCTCCACTTCATTAAAGATAAAATCAAACTTGTCAGTGTCAGGCCTAGCTATTTCGTCCCTTTCATCTGCAATAAAACATAACGTACACAAGCAAATAAAATTTGAAGCATGACTATTTCGTTCCTTGCACACAATTTATAAATAACACGAACAACAAAAATAACTCATAATTGGCAATCGTTTCATGCGTTCTAACTCGTAAGGATCAAGTAAGTCCATAATAACTATAATCAAGCAACCAAAAGAAGATGAAAAAAAAAAAACAAAACCGCAAATAAACGAAAAATAAAGCTGAATTACCGTTAATCATGTTTGTGACGGCGAGGTACCGAGAACGAATACCTCGACGGCCTTTAGGAGTTTGATAGTCAGCGTCGTTAACGGCAGCGAATTCAGAGTGAAGCTTCTTGCTGCTGCTGCTTCTATCGGCATCATCGGATTCGCGTTTCACCATGAGTTCTTGTGAGGTGGAAAACTACACACACTGCATCAATTTCGAGAGCGTGAATTCGAAAAGTGGAATGCAAAGAGAATGTGTTGTAAGGAAGGAAGTGCAAAACGAACCGAGAGAAAAGCACGAGAAGCGCCGGGGACTCGAAGCACGTTCCTTTGTATTTGTGTGTTTGTGTCCTTTCAGTTTTCATTTTAAATGTTCCTTTATTTAGTTTTCATGTAATTTTGAAAAATTTGTAAAACATTTTCTTCTTAAGTTAATTACCAAAACAATGGAAATAAAATAACGATTTTTTTCCCTACATGGCAATTATCCCCACTTCAAGCTGAGAACGACGCATAGGAGTAAGAAAACTTTCCCTCAAAATATAATAAAATAACGATTTTATTAATAAATAAAAGTATACTTTTAACAAGAAATATATAAATAAAAATTATAAGTAATAAAAGTTATATATTTTTATTAATGGCATATTCTTCAATATATCTCTTATTTTACAGAATGATTTTTAATCAATATAAAACTATAAGTAATAAAAGTTATATATTTTTATTAAAAATTATAAATTTTGTATACCTTAATATTATTAAATGTTATAATTTATAATAAAAATATACTATTTATTATTTTTTATCAATTTTTTTTAAGGTTAAACATATAGATTTTTTAGTCTTGAGTATTTATTAGCTAATTTATAATTTTGAAAATATTGTAAAATATTTTTTAAAAATTAATTACCAAAATAATTCTCATTAATGAAAAATAAAAATTTTGTTAAAGTATTAATAGCATACGTATTCTTTTATCAGTTTCAAAATGTTCTTAAAGCTAAATCGCAATCAACTTTAAGGAGTAAAATCAACTCGTATTTTGTACATATTATAAATTATAAGGATCAAATACACAATTTTTAAAGTTTAGGGGCTAAGTCATACATAACACAATTTTCAAGGTATTAATTTATATATTTTAAAATAATTTAAAATTGTGTTTAAAAAGTGATTAATTTATAAAAAAATTAAAAATAAATTAATCATAAGAACTATATGAACAAATATTTATCTAAATAACTTTATCTTAAATAGACTAATAAAGTTAAGACATTATATTAAATATTTTATAATTTTTATTTGACTTTTTATACATAGAAGATTATTAGTCTATTATAATCAGATTATTTACTCTACGGAGTAACTTAGTTCAAAGAATGTGTTAATTTTTAAAAAAATCTAAATGTTGTTAATAAAATAAATAAACAAATATTGATACTTATTATTTGCATGTATTTAAGTCTGTTTGTGCAAATTGAAAAATGAATTCCATTCAGAGCAAAATATGATTATTGTCATTTAATGTGTGTTGGAGAATGTTAACATCATGAAAGAGTTATTAAAAACTTGTGAAATTTTTTTATCTATTTTTCATATTCACAATGAGATTGCACAATTAGGCATATTAGTGTCACACCCACTTCGTTAACCAACCAATCCGTGCTCAGCAACATAATCTAATCCGAAACTTCTTTTACAGTAACATTTTGGGCTTTGTAAATTTCCCTCCTTTCAGACATACAACGTGTTCCCCTAGTTCTTCTTGCCCCTTTCGTATCATCTCTGGCCTTGTCCACTGTGGTCGTTTCTAGAGGCTATGCCTCTATCTCTATGGTCCATAAATATGTTCCAGTTGAGATCTGTTATCAGTACGGACAAATATCTTCATATAAGTATGAAAGATAATCAATTCAGACAAATTTACTCGTCTACTTAGCCATGGCTAAGAAGTAAGAATAGTCATCATCATTTATAAATAAATTTGTTTGTTTTTATCTTCATAAATGTATGATTATTAAGGCACAAGGACATATTTAAACTTCTCAATCCTCTGTTCTGTAACTTCAATACAAATTCCTTAATACGCAAGCATTATATTTACTTTAATTGTCATGTCACACGATTTGATTGTTATTCTTTAAACTGTTGATCATTCAGTGTAATGGCTAATACATTAATTACTGCTTTATAGCATGGTAGTACCTCTTCGAGATCAAGCCGTTTGTCCTTTACGGGTGATTCGGGAGAACTACATAACACACGATGTTTGCGCTGCAAAGAATTACAATCCAGAAAAAGTTAGCTAAACTATTCCTATAATAGGGTTACTTGCTTACAGGTTTGTGGCCTAATCATCACATTCAAGCATTGGCTTCAAATACACTCATAAGTTGAAGGCATTAAACACACATTCCATTATACATTAAAATGAATAAGTTTGCGTATTTGTCATTTTCTATGATATTTTACTATTGTAAATTCTATACTTGTCCACCTACTTTACCATAAACATCAAAAGCCCATTAATTAACCCAAATAAATTCTAAGAATGAAGCATTTACCTTATAAGGGAAGCTATTTTGATCTAATATACCTCGGGTTGGTTCAAAGGCTTAATGGAAGTCTTATAAATTGTTTGTCTTTTTCCCGTCTAATCCAAAATTTGTTTCCAATAAGTGGATGGCAAGCTGCTTCTTGAGTTGGTCCAGCAGAAGGATTCTGCCGAGTTCACCGAAGACATATTGAACAACGGTTGAAGGTGGTAAATAAATGGTAGGAGAAAAATAAAAGGCATCATTAATGCATGCTTTTTCTTTTCACTTCTCTAGTGAAAAAATGAACAATATTGTGATTAATTATTATAGGGTCTTGTTAAAAATTACATTAGAATGTATTGAAAATCAAGAAAGTGAGTACATTTTTCAATAAAACATTTCCACTTTTGATTCTTTAAGTAATGTCTTAAAACACTTCCAACATTTTCGGTCGTTATATTAAACTTATGACTTATGGATCCTAAAGCAGCTCCATCAATTGCAGATTTGCTTAGTGCAATCAATGCATGAAGCTACTAATATAGTGCTGTTAAAGCTCACATGACATTATATACAGGACAAGGTGGCACCGATTGAGCTGTGTTGGGTCTTGCATGTTGGTAAGAGCCAGTTTGTTTCCACACCCTGAATGCATTTTCCATCACGTTAACATTGTAAGAGTTTAGTCAGAAACAACAAGACTCCATTATCTTTTGGTTTAATTTTTGCTACATGGATACAATTGCAACTGTTCAAATAATCACAGTACCGTTTTCGCTGAGTTTCATCCCTATTAAACGCGCCAAGAAGCTCTGTGTTCATCATCCGAAACCCTCAACTCTGTCCTGAGTTCACTCATCAAACTTTCTTTTTCCTAATGAAATGCATAAGCATTTGAGATAATCTTCAAAACAGAAACGTATGAAAGGAAAATGTTTCGTGTTCTATTAAAATGGACAATTTTAAGTGTTCTTTATGTGTGTGTATATATATATTTGGAGTGTATTTTTTATTGTGTGCATATAGAAGTAATAAAAAATAAACGAGAGATAGAAACAACAGCATTAAATGTCATTGAAATGCTTCAATTCAAATAATAAATAATATAAAAATAATGGAAAAGGAAGGGAAGGAGCTGAATATATACATACCCATGAAAGTTCATTGGATTGATGTCTGAAAGCACGCAAGACAGAAAAGTATGCTTCTCTCTCAGCTTGAAGAATAGGCATTGGATTACGCCGTCAAATTCTTGAGTTTTTTTTTTTTTTTTTTGGTTATTTTATTTGTTTGTTTTAACGTAGAATGAAATCTTGTTCTTGTTTCTTGTTTTTCTTTTATGGCTTCTAAAGTGCTAATGCAAACCTCTTCCTAAAACAAGTGAAAAGAAAGAAAGAAAATAGAATTCTTTGCATTACAAATTCTAAACAGTAGTTATCAACAGCTTCATAATAGCATTACAAATGAAGAGTTTTTTTGTTAACTTTTACCGCCTTTGGAAACTTGGTGGTTCATGATGAAAGATACCGCAATGTTAGCCTCAAAAGAAACAGAACTGGGTTCAAAGACAAAATTCTTGGTGTAAAGTTAAAGACTAGAGAGTAAGATGGAGACAGTGACGGGAGAGAAAAAGTGTAACTTTGTATTTTATTAGATGACAGTAATGGAACAAATATTTATATAATGAGAGAAATGTGCCCAATGCATGAGCCTGGTGCTCAATGTGCTTGCTTGCTATTTGTATGCTCAGACTAAAAAGTCACTTGTGGGTAGTAACAACACATTCACCTTAGTCAAACTCCCTCTACTGATAAATTTGGTACACATTACAAATAACATTATATTGAAAAAATTCATCAAAATAATGGTTAATACATTTTTATCATCTTAATTGTAATAAAAACTGCATCTTAAAAAAAATGATACTAAAAAAAGCAAAGACAATTTCTTAATATACTAAAAAATCATAATTTTTTTAAAATTACCGATATCGTTTGTTAAACTGAATAATTTCTGCGAATTGATCTACGTGTTTAATGATAAAAAAAATTATAATTAAAAGTTGTTATATTATTTTTTAATAAATTTTATCATTATTAATTAAGTATTTAAATATTTAATTAATTGTTACAAATAATTTCATATATTTTTAATTAATTTATTTTTAAAATAATATAATTAAAATTTATTATCTTAAAATTACTTTTTATATCTAATCATAAAAAATTATACAATCGATTGTAATAAGAATTAATTATAAAAATAATCTATTATTAAAAAGTAATTTTGAGTCCTGATAAATCATTCAAACAAAAAGCTTTTTAATTAATATTACACGTGTTTAGTTATATATATTATTAAATAATGTAAATATTTAAGTTTGACATACAACATTAAAATATTTTAATATATAGGTATAATATTATGTTTGTTGCGTGGTGGAGAAAATGAAAATAGGAAGTGAAAACTTAATATCTTGTTGCAAGAAGACGTAGTAATGCATGCTGAAACAATTTGTGAGAAGTTCGACAAAAGTTATTGAGAAGTGTTCATTATTACTGTTATAGCTAGAGGAAGGAAAAACACCGTAAAAGAAGATCTTAAAAGTTGAAGAAGAAAATTAATTATTTTTAAA